AGTAACATATTATCAAAGATATTAGACACAAACTCTGAAGAAATCAGTGAAGCTAGGAATCATGTTATATATATTATATGTACCATTTAATGCTATCTAGGAATTTCATTTAGATGCAGAGAATGTTCATGAAATAAGTGGGAAGTAGAATTACGCTGAAAATTTTTTTTTTTTTCAATAATGCTTGAGTCTGATGATCAGCCAAAGTTTTCAAATCTCTTCTAATGAAATCTAAAAATTCCTGTGAATCGATCCCATCAAAGAGTCTTCTACCAGAATGAATAGAAAAATACGATCTGATTCTTGTTGGTTAGAAATAGTAGCTGTGAGTCATATACTTCGATCTACGTTTCAAAAAACTAGCCATTCTTAATTATTGCATGCTTGTCAGTTTCAAAGACTATTATTAATATTATTTCTTTACTTTGTACAATAATTCAAGGAATTTAAAAAATCAAGAACATATGAATGAACAATAGAAGGAAATATCCTGCAAGCAGTATTTCTAAGATATAATTTGATATCATGATATCAAAATTTACTTGAATGATGACGTCATCATAACTTAGAAGCATCTCTCTCTTACTTTCATGTTTTCGTAGCCTCTCCTCTAGTTCCTAATAACGTAACAAATGGACAATTTTTTACCATTTTTATTCACAGAAAATACACGTTGTGGTACTTAGTGGTTGATGGGGAAACATATTAACTGATCTGAGGGGGACAGGTTACAAGAGATAGAAGAATGTGAAGTGGGACCCACATGTTTCTATAGTTTGGACTCTACAGAATTCTCGAATGTAAGACAAATGCACGTAAAAGGTCTACTTTTATCCTTTTACCTTGCTGCAGTTCCTTTTCCACACTTGTCTTGTACGTCGATCTTGAACTTTAAAATAGCAATATCCCAAGCACACAGAATATTCTAGCAAGATATATGAATACTAGTTTATATGAAGAAAACGAACAGAGAAAGATAAAGATAGGCAATCAATAAATTCTTCACTTATTTAATGAACATCCTCTGCATCTAAACGAAATCGCGAGATGAAACTATACGACGAATATTATATGAGCCAATTCCGATTTTATTCTATTGTTTGAAGAAAATGAGGTCAAAAAAAAGCAAAATTGCTCAAATGAAAAAATTGAGTCAGTCATTCGATAGAGTAATTTAAGTGATTCCCAAAATCAAAATTTCCCTACACTTGATGCGGCAAAAACCGAATATAAATAAGAATTTTTAAAAAGTTTTAAACAAGTTACTAGCCAAAAGTATACATCAGAGCAGAATCTTTTTTGTTTTCAAAATAAGTATTATCATATAGAAGTTGATAGATTCAATACAGAATCGATTTTAAAGACCTTCAATAACCTATAATGCTCCAAATCAACGAAAGATCTAGCTGTTCGTCTTTAAATTGATTGGCAATTTGAAAGCTCTCTTTCACGGATTTTTACTTATTATTTCACCGAGAAGGTTTAACTTTGCTCCGAAGAAAATATTGCTGAGTGATAAATCATTGAGCAGCAGACAGTATAGTTATATGGAAAAGGTTACTTAGTTTCAGGCATTTAAATAAGAAATACCTGACACATTCTTAGAAAAATATATCAAAAAAATTGATACTTATGAAAACGATTTTCTAGAGAACCTTCTCTATTGTCATCAACATCTAGTAGTTTGCAATGCTTGGTGTGACGATTCATATCATGAAAAATCCGATGTTATGCTATACATATAATTCTAGTCTCGTCGAATCAAAATATCCTCTATATTGCATTGCGTGAAACAGTTAGCATATATTTTGAGATTTTCTTCTAAACGGTAGATTCAATTGAGCCGTTGTTTTATCGTAGTTAGATGATGCTTAGAGGAAAAAATTCTCAAGTAAAACGAGCAACATCTCTTTTGAGATATTTACTTGAAAATTTTGTTCATATAGAACGACAAAAATGTATTTGATTAAAATCTATTCTAATCTAAACTGTGCTCTATCGTTTAAGAAAAAGATGAAATTTTTATGTTGTTTTATAGATGAACGAAATAAATGGCATAGATTATAGCGGGACACGATTTGTACAAAGTATCTGTAATAGTGATATGACGTGAGACAATATTTCAGAGATGAATCTAAACGAAAATAAATCTCACATTCACAAATTTCTAGATCATTCGTTCCACAAATGTTGCTGCAAGTTTCAGAAAATTTTCACTTTTGAAGAGAAAACCGGATCGATAATCAAGTAGCAACCTCATTGTGAGTCATTTTAAGGCTTTCAAGTTTTATAACTACCACAAGAAATGTGATAGAAGGTTAGTTTTTTTTCTTTCAATAAGTTTTTGGAAATGATAAGGACAGCATGAGAAAAAAGAATTCGTCTACATCAATTCATAAGAACCAGAGCTATTCTCAATACACACATTGAAACATAATGGGACAATAGATATGCAAGTTTCTCATATGCATCGTTACAGTTTGTATCAATTAGACCTTATCCTTCTTCTTCCCCGAATCCCATCTGTTGTGCAAGGGTACTATGCATCGAAATATAACAATCCTTGATCAAGACGTACCATATATGCATTTATAGTTTGCGACTACACTAGGAAGTGAAATATGAATTAAATAAAAATCATTACCTGTGTTTGAAGACGATGACGTCGATAATGATTTAGATTTGAATAATAATAACTATGAGCTTCACTATAACAAATGCAAACTTTTATAATAATGATACAACTTTAAACAAAATCAACACGAGTTCTATGATAATAACCATCATTTTCACTATAACGACTTCAACCATCAAGGTGGAAATGAAGTCTTTTTTCTAAAAAGATAATCTTTATTCGAATATTTTTCTATTTTTTATGTACAGATGTAATGTATATATCTAGTAGATTTAATGAATCATCTCGTTTAGTATCAACAGAATGTTATGATGAAAAAAGCTAATGCAGGAACTGTTTGTGAAGATATCAAGATTGCCAGATCTTCTGAAAAGTCTAGAAAATTTTTGAAATTCGAATATTTTTGTAAGTACTTTCTCATTTTCTGATCTTGATATTTACCCACTCACACACCTACCCTTAATAAAGCATATTCGAAAAAATTGAGAATTATGGACAATAATATCGAATTTATATTATATAACCTTTATTTTTTTTTCTTCCGTAGAATTTTTTAATCTACATAGTATATATGCAGTTTGTTGTTGTACTTTTTTTTGTGAATGAATTTCGAGTCAAGTGGACAAGTTCGACATTAAGTGTCTGTTGTTTTGGTTTTTTTTTCGTATTAATTAAACGATAAATTCATTTTATTGTCTGTCTTTATAATGAAATATCTTTGAAAATAAAGTATAAGTCAATAAACAGAAATCCACTGGAGTATTTGGTGTTAGTATGTTAACATAATAGTTGTTATTTTATTAAAAATTCCTCTTTCTCAATAACTTCTTATTTTTAAATTTTTTATCTGGCAACTCTGAAAGTTATACATATAGATAGAGAAAGAGTTAATCTTGTTTTTTTCTATTATTGTTCATCTCTATTATATTGATAAGTGTATATCTATGCAATAAACTGATGAATATTGGATAATTTTCGATTGAGATAAGTTGTTTCTTTTTCATCACTGATATTGATTATGACAGTAAGAAAGACTCAGAAGAATAGAGAGCAAAAATTTATGCGAGAAGCATAGTTTGTTTAACATCAAGAATCGATGATCTATATGCATTATATTAGTCTAACGAAAAGCAGAATCTATCAACGATTTAATAGATAAGTGAAGAATCGACAAGAATAGATAAATAGACTGTCTTAATAGATTATATTATGATTTGCCGCTTTTTTTTTGTCGATAGAAATTTATCTAAATGTATTATACTATTCGTTTTAAAGTGATTTTTCTTTATCAAATAAAACATGGAAATCTTTTCAAATGATGATTATTTTATTAAAATTCTTCACTTTTTCAGATGGGATAGGATGACCTTAATTTATTGCAAACAGTTGAAAAATATAGTAACAAATTTTCTTCTGAATCTATTTAATTATAAGTTTGTCTCTAGATATTAATTTGGATCGATGATCACAAATAGCACCGACATTAACTTCACTTTCACGTAAAATTATATCATTTTTTTCTACATCTAAATAATTCAATATATATGTCTAATTTAATTATTTCTTCTTAGGCGCTGATTGTGTAACAGTTAATCGTTATATATTTGCTTGTGGTAGATTTGATGGAATAAGTCCTTTATCAACTGTAGTGCAATATGATAGTCAAATAAATCAATGGACAAATGTGACAAGAATGTCTGTTCGACGATGTTATTGTGGTTCGGCATTTATTCGTGGTCGAATAGCTGTTATTGGTGGTTATGATGGGACATCTTTACTTGATACAGTTGAAGTTTATGATAGTGATAAAGATGAATGGACAATTGAAAGTCAAATGTTAACACCCAGATGTGATTCGGATTTTGCTTATGTTACTTATCAACAACAGCATATTTATACATGCGTATGCATCTATAAATATATATATATATATATATATATATATATATATATAGATCAATAGTGTGTTTTTCTTTATTACCTATTATTTTTGCACTATGATGTCTATTGTGATATGATAACTTAATGTTTCCTATCGACTGTTCTTCTTCTTTTTTGTTATACTCTCTTCGGTGGAAAAATCAGAAGGAGGCTAGGCTCTCCCCCCCCCCAGCTCAAAATCCTGGCTCCATTACTGATTGTCTCTCAGATATATTGATACATACATAAAAAAAAGTAGTACTTGTCCATAAGTAAAGAAACAGAATAAAATTGATATAGTTTTTATTTATGAATATTCGATTTTGAAATTGATGATGATG